TGCGAGAGCGCTGCTGCTGCTGTGGCTCCTGCTGCTGCTGCTAGCGCTGGCCACCCCCAGAGCTGCTCCGCTGAGTCGAGCCACTCCGACCTCCGCCGCCACCGCCACCCCCGCCTCCACCGCCACCCCCGTCTCCACCGCCACTGCCCCCACCGGCACCCTCTCCCCCGCCCCCTCCGCTACCTCCCCCGCCGCCACCTCCGCCTCCACCGCCTCCACCAGCACCTCCACTCCCGCCACCACCTCCACCGCCACCCCCACTCCCCCCGCCACCCCCACCTCCCCCGCCACCGCCCCCTCTAGCTCCACCCGCACCCTTGCCCCCTTTGCCCTTGCCAGTGCGGCGTCTACCGCTGGGGGCAGACGCCGCACCGACCGACTCAAAACCAGCGAGGTCGGCCGCAGCGGCAGAGGTGACAGAGGGCAGCAGGGGGGAAGGAGAACACCCCTCAAAAATGGGGGTGCGAGGGTCACCCCGAGAGGCCCCAACAGCGACGATGCTCTTCTCAGCCGCTAGCAGGGACTCCTCAAGGAGGTCGACAGTGAGGGTGGTGGGACAGACAGAGAGAAACTGGTCCCTAACGACACGAAGGGACTCAGGGAGACGGGTGACGAGAAAGTAGAGAGTGATGTACATGGGAGGAGGGTTTGCGGCGCGGAACTCAGCAGGAAGGGCAGCGCGGTAGCGAGCGTCACTAGCGCGGAGGTGGGTAACGAGGTCAGCGACAGTGGGAAAGGCAGCGAGGTCAGGGAAGAGAAACGGCAGCATTAGGCGGCTAAGCGTAGCGGAGGAAGGGGAGGAGTAGCGTGCAACTACAGCGTCGTACAAGGCCTGAGCGGTCTTGCACTGACTAAAGTGGGCACGCTCGGAGGAAGGGAGGTGGCGACGCACAGCAAGACGTGCAGCAGCATCGCGGGTCGCCCACTTGGAGCGAACGGCGGGGTCAGCATCAGCAGGAGGGGCAGGGACAGCGCCAGAGACAAAGTCAAAGAGAGAGACCTCATCTATCGCATCACACAGTAAGTACAGCTGCAGGTCTTCAATCCAGACTGCAAAGTCAATGGCTCTACCCTCAGCATCAAAAGCAAGGACAGTGGGGGTGGCCATGACAGCAGCTGACAGTCTCACCGGGCAGGAAAAGTCGGGCAGGTCAGCGGCACAGTAACACAGCCCAGGAGCAGCAGTGGCCCCACCGGAGTAGGAGTGCGGCTCCTCTGGCGGCTCGGGCGGCTCGGGCGGCTCGGGCGGCTCGGGCGGCTCGGGTGGCTCGGGCGGCTCGCGCGGCTCGGGTGGCGCAGGGGCTCACGGGCGGCGCGGGCGGCTGCACGGGCGGCTCACGGGCGGCTGGGGCTGCTCACGGGGGGCACGGTGGGCGGCTGCACGGGCGGGTGCACGGCGGCGCGGCGGGCTGCAGCACGGGCGGCGGGGCCGACGGCGGGCCGTAGCGGGGCTGTAGCGGGGCCGACGGCGGGCTGTAGCGGGGCCGACGGCGGGCCGACGGCGGGCTGTAGCGGGGCCGACGGCGGGCTGTAGCGGGGCCGACGGCGGGCTGTAGCGGGGCCGGCTGCGGGCTGTAGCAGGGCCGACGGCGGGCTGTAGCGGGGCCGGCGGCGGGCTGTAGCGGGGCCGGCGGCGGGCTGTAGCGGGGCCGACGGCGGGCTGTAGCGGGGCCGGCGGCGGGCTGGAGCGGGGCCGACAGCGGGCTGTAGCGGGGCCGGCGGTGGGCTGTAGCGGGGCCGACGGCGGGCTGTAGCGGGGCCTACGGCGGGCCGACGGGGTCTAGGCGGGGCCGACAAGGGGCCGTAGCTGGGCCTAGGCGGGCCGACGGGGCCTAAGCGGGGCCGACGCGGGGCCGTAGCGGGGCTGAAGTGGGGCCGACGAGGCCTAAGCGGGGCCGACAGGGCCTAAGTGGGGCCAACGAGGGGCCGTAGCGGGGCCTAAGCTGGGCCGACGGGGCCTAAGCGGGGCCGACGCGGGGCCGTAGCGGGGCTGTAGCGGGGCCGACGGGGCCTACGCGGGGCCGACGAGGCCTAAGTGGGGCCGACTAAGGGCCTAAGCGGGGCCGACGAGGGGCCTAAGTGGGGCCGACGAGGGGCCTAAGCGGGGCCGACGAGGGGCCTAAGCGGCGCCGACGAGGGGCCTAAGCGGGAGTACGGCGGTAAGGGCGACACGGAGGGTCGCGAAAAAAAAAAACGCGCGCCTCGGGGCGCGCTTCGGTGGGCCCTAGGAACAGTCCCTAGGAAGGGACCTGCTCTGATTCCATGAGAAAGTATGAACGAGAATGGAATGACTATGAACGAAGTGAGTACAAATAGGAAACCCTAGCTGGGTTGTACCCCCTATGGGATACCCCACTATAGCCTACACAAACAAGTAAGCTATAATGTTCTGACACCTCGTTCGTCCCACGAGGCCGATGTCCCCAATGGCTGCTTCCGTAGGACCCCGGTCTCGGTCGGCGGAAGAAGTCAGTTTCTCCGCCATAGCGAGAATCTCTTGAAAATCGGTGACGCCGCGAAGCTTGATTTCCTGAGCGATGTCCTGCTTCAGGCCGCCGATGTAGCGGTCGATGCGCTCGCTCTCGTGCATATATCCCACCTGCTCGCATAGCGCCAGAAACCCGCTCGTATAATCCTGGACGGAACCGAGTTGGCGCCCAGTGCGGAGCCTCTGTCGCGCCGCGATCGAAGCCGCGATTGGCTCGAAACGAGCGCGCAGACCTGCGCACCACGCGTCCCAAGTGCGATACTTGGGCACCTTCACGAAATACGACGGCGCCCAGGGTCCGGTTTGTCCTTCCAGTGTCGGTAGAGCCGCGTAGTCCACCGGCTTGTGACACGACTTTCAGAGGAGTGTGCAGTGCAGTCGTCATAGGTGAAAACTGCAAATGAGACTAGGTGGTAGGTCCCGAGGACCTGCCGAAAGGTAAAGGAGAAGGTCTCCTTTACAGCAAACCCCTCTTCAAGTCGAACAACAATCTGTAAAAAAAAAATGTTACAAAAAAAATTCTCATCTTTGTGACGATGACGCGCCACCAGTCCATGGCGGGTCCTCGCAGCAACAACACAGCGTAGCGAATCTTCGCCGTATCCTCCGAGACGTAGTTCGCGTCGAAGAAGACATTCAACGTGAAGAGCCACGCCTGAACGGTAGGACCACCCCGCTGACTTGGGTCAAAGCATGGCGGACGCTGCGGCTTTAACGGCATGGGCGACGGAAGAGTTGATCCGCCGGCCGGCACTGAAATCGTGACTTGAGGCTGAGTCCTGGCCGCATTCGTCGCGTCGGGGTGTGTCGTGCCGTGGTCGTCGTCTCCATCATGGCGGACGACGCCATCACTTGCGGCGCTCGTGGGTTGCTCCACACTCCCGTGCTGTGATGCTTGTGGTGGAATCGGAGTGCCAGGTGCTTGGGATTGTGCTCGTACGAGGTCGTTTTGCAGGGACGAGCATTCTGGCGTCAGCGTCGCAATTTCCTCGGCGCTCTCGCGGATTTGTCGCAGCAGATCGTTCAAGTGCTCCTGCGTGAGAGTCGTGACGTCGATATGTTCAGCCATTTCGAAGGGCGTCGGCTCGTCTTAGTCTAGGCGCAGTCGTGGCTGCACGCGTTTACAAGAGAACGCGAGGACAGCGGCTCCTAGGTGCTAAGGTACGTGAGTCCCTTCGAGTGAAAAATCAGAAGTTGATTTCCTAGGGTGCGGAGATGCGCGGTCCGAAAGAAAGGGGCTCTGATAACCAAGTGTTACGGGTGCAATGAATCGAAGTAGCGAGAATTGCACTAAGGTGTCAAACGAGTACAAAGATGTGAGCGAAGGCATGAGCGAACATTTATATGCGAAACATGCAAACGGTAACGCGGTGCGTGCGAGCTAGCTCGTGATATGCTGGCTGCGAGGCTCGGGCTAGTCCCGAAGCGTAGGCGGACACGGCCGGGCCAGCAGTGCGAGGTTTGGCAAAACAGTGCGCGCGAAGTTGGCGAAGTCCCGTTGGCAGTAACGGGCAAACAACGGCTGTTGTTGTACGCGATGTAGTCGGGCTCCGTAAGGAATGCCGTGAAAATTCCTTACAACAAGTCTATATTTAGAACGAATATGTACATTACAAGTTGAAGTGTTTCACTCGGTCAGAGGTGAAGCTGTGAGAGGAAAGGTCGCGTGCTCAATGCTCGCATTGGGATATAAGCAGAGTGCACTATTTGCTGGAGCCATTTTGCGCAACATCCACCATATCCTCGCTACGAAATACTTGGTATCAGTGTAACAGGATTAAAACACTGATGAAAGTCAGGGGAAACAATCTATAGCTCGGATTTCATAAAGGGTACAAAAAATCAAACTCTTTATGAGTCAGGGTAAGAAATCCGGGAGCTTGACTGGGTCAGGGTAACCCCAAAAAAAGCGGCCGCCAGTCAGGGCAATCAGGGTATTTTACCCTGACATTTTGGGGCCTGGATGTGTCAAAGTTGAAGCAGCGGGAAAGGATACAAAACAATGACAATGGAAGGGCAACGGCGGTAGGGAACAAGGAATGCACGGAGGGAGAAAATGAGCAAGGGGGACACAAAGGAAGGGCGGAATGGGGGGGAAGATGAAGAGTGGTTGTAAGGTGGGAGAGAGCGGGGAAAGGCACCGAGCCAGAAAAGTGGGAGAGGGAATAGATGAAGAAAGGAAGAGGGTGGGAGAGGACGACGTTGGGTAGATGGGTGGAAGGGAGGGAGGAAGGAAGAAAGGGAGGATGGGAGGATGAGAGGAAGGGAGTAGGAGGGTGGGAGATGGGAAGGGGAAGGGGACAGGATCGAGAGAGGATGAGGAGATGGGAGAATGGCAGGAAAGGGACGGGAGGAAGGGAGGGAGGATGACGCATCTACCCTGTCGATGCATCTACCCATTCCCAAGCAACCCCCCTGTCGATGCATCTACCCATACCCAAGCAACCCCCCTGTCGATGCATCTCCCCATACCCAAGCTACCCCCCTGTCGATGCATCTCCCCATACCCAAGCTACCCCCCTGTCGATGCATCTCCCCATACCCAAGCTACCCCCCTGTCGATGCATCTCCCCATACCCAAGCTACCCACCTGTCGATGCATCTCCCCATACCCGAGCTACCCCCCTGTCGATGCATCTCCCCATACCCAAGCTACCCCCCTGTCGATGCATCTCCCCATACCCAAGCTACCCCCCTGTCGATGCATCTCCCCATACCCAAGCTACCCCCCTATCGATGCATCTCCCAATACCCAAGCTACCCCCCTGTCGATGCATCTCCCCATACCCAAGCTACCCCCCTGTCGATGCATCTCCCCATACCCCAAGCTACCCTCTTGTCGATGTATCTCCCCATACCCAAGCTACCCCCCTGTCGATGTATCTCCCCATACACAAGCTACCCCCCTGTCGATGTATCTCCCCATGAGAGAGGCGGAGGATGAGAGAGGCGGCGGAGGTGAGAGAGGCGGAGGTGAGAGAGGCGGAGGTGAGAGAAGCGGAGGGTGAGCGATGCGGAGGTGAGAGAGGCGGAGGGTGAGAGAGGCGGAGGATGAGAGAGGCGGAGGATGAGAGAGGCGGAGGATGAGAGAGGCGTAGGTGAGAGAGGCGGAGGGTGGGAGAAGCGGAGGGTGAGAGAGGCGGAGGGTGAGAGAGGTGGAGGGTGAGAGAGGCGGAGGAATTACGTTGGGCGGCGAAGGTGAGAGAGGCGGAGGTGAGAGAGGCGGAGGATGAGAGAGGCGTAGGTGAGAGAGGCGGAAGGTGAGAGAGGCGGAGGGTGAGAGAGGCGGAGGGTGAGAGAGGCGGAGGAATTACGTTGGGCGGCGAAGGTGAGAGAGGCGGAGGTGAGAGAGGCGGAGGATGAGAGAGGCGGAGGATGAGAGAAGCGGAGGGTGAGAGAAGCGGAGGGTGAGAGAGGCGGAGGGTGAGCGAGGCGGAGGGTGAGAGAAGTGGAGGGTGAGAGAGGCAGAGGGTGAGAGAGGCGGAGGATGAGAGAGGCGGAGGATGAGAGAGGCGGCGGAGGTGAGAGAGGCGGAGCGTGAGAGAGGCGGAGGTGAGAGCGGCGGAGGTGAGAGAGGCGGAGGGTGAGAGAGGCGGAGGGTGAGAGAGGCAGAGCGTGAGCGAGGCGGAGGTGAGAGAGGCGAGGATGAGAGAGGCGGAGGGTGAGAGATGCGGAGGGTGAGAGAGGCGGAGGATGAGAGAGGCGGAGCATGAGAGAGGCGGAGGTGAGAGAGGCGGAGCGTGAGAAAGGCGGAGGCGAGAGAGGCGGAGCGTGAGAGAGGCGGAGGTGAGCGAGGCGGAGTGTGAGAGAGGCGGAGGTAAGCGAGGCGGAAGTGAGCCAGGTGCTTTCGCCTGCCCACGCGATCCCCCCTGCCCATGCACCTCCGCCTGTTTGTTGGTCGCATTGCCTTTGCAGGGCAAATCGTGACCTAATGTCGCCGTCGCATTGCCCTGCAATGCAAATGACCTAAATGCGACGTCGCATAGCTCTGCAGGTCGAATCGTGGCCATCGGTCTGCTAACGTCACAACGCACAACTACATTTCCGGTAATGTCGGTTTCCGCGACTTTAGCTCTCCCATACCTTTTGTAATTCGTGATTAGCGCGCGCCCGCTTGTCGGTATGCTGGCTAGTTGGCGGGCTACGCGGGTCTAATAGTGGGTCCTAGAACTCGCGAACTATCAGTAGCGTTTTTGGGACAAGTTTCTCTTGCCTGTGTGCCTCATGTTTATGCAGGTTGGTGTTGGGCGATGTGCCGTGCGATGAAACCCAACTGGGCATTTGTCGCTGTTACAGTGTTCTAGTTTGGCGAATGTTCAGGACCAGGTTTTTGTGTTTCAAAAGTTTGCCTCCGCTGGAAACCGGGTAACACCCAACCAACCTTAGGAAGCTTGAACCAATTTCGTGCTTCTTGACCCTCTGGTTTTAAACTTCGGAAGGGTTGCGTAGTTACTTCTCTTTTAACGTCCCTCATATCCATACCGTATGAAGAGTATTTATGTAACCCACTTATGAAGGCGTAACTTTGGTGAAGTGAATGACTTTGATCCATAAAAAATAGGACATTATGTAATTATCATACGCCAAAACTGTGTTAAATTTTAAAAGCCTAATTTGAGCAAATGATTGAATTCCAAATTCTGTAGCATTATACCGCATGATACGTGGTGTGGGTATACTAAAAAGGGCAAGAAAAAGGTACAACAAAGCTGACCAATAGTGGATAACAAGTTGATAATACGGTAAGCTAAGAATGACACATTTCTATTATTCAACTATCAACAATGAAACCACTAGCAACAGTTTGGACCTTATATTACCAGGAACAAACTTACTCTAAAGAATATCAACTTGCTGACTTGGGATGGGGTGGACTCACCCAGTTGGCTAGGGTTTCGTTGCCCTCCCACCCACCCGACCACCCCTCCCAAAGTGCTGTCCTGGCTTTCCCTCCTGCCCTTTCCACCCCTCGCCATGTCAATCAAGAAGTCGTCAACTACCTCAGGTACTACTGAACTACGTTGTTAGTGCCTAAGCCGCACGCGCCTAGAGCGCTTGCCCTTGACCTTTGTGCATTAGGCACTATAGCATAAAGCACTCTCCCTAGAGCGCTCTCGCCTTAGGCGTTGGAACCTAGGCCTATGGCGCCTAGGGCGTTAACCTTAGGGCGCTAGCGCCTTAGGCGTCATTGGCGCGTAAGGCGCTGGCACCGTTCGCGGTGGCGCCGTTGGGCGCGGGCGCCGTGGGCGCTGGCGCCTTTGCGCGCTGGTGCTGGCGCCATTGCGCGCTGGCGCTGGTGCCTTTGCGCGCTGGCGCTGGCGCCTCTGCTGCGCTTTGGCGCTGGCGCCTCTGCGCGCTGGCGCTGGCGCCTTTGGGCGCTGGCGCTGGCGCCTTTGCGCGCTGGCGCTGGCGCTTTTGGGCGCTGGCGCTGGCGCCTTTGCGCGCTGGCGCTGGTGCCTTTGCGCGCTGGCGCTGGCGCCTCTGATGGGCGCTGGCGCTGGCGCCTCTGCGCGCTGGCGCTGGCGCCTCTACGCGCTGGCGCTGGCGCTGGCGCCTTTGGGCGCTGGCGCTGGCGCCGTTGCGCGCTGGCGCTGGCGCCTTTGCGCGCTGGCACTGGTGCCTTTGCGCGCTGGCGCTGGCGCCTCTGCTGGGCACTGGTGCTGGCGCCTTTGCGTATGCCCTGCGTTTTCTGATGTCAGGCGCGTATGCTGATAACTTTCACCCTCCCCTCCCCCTCCCGTTCCCCACACCCTCCCCCCAGGGATTTAACATACGAGGGCTCCTTTTATCGGCGGGGGAGCAGCAATGCGGTGTGCGAGCATCGTAGGCACAGGTGAGTGAGAAAAAATAGAGGAATAGAAGAAAGGAGATGGGGAGAGAGAGAGAGGAAGAGAGCGAGTGAGGAGCGAGGGAAGAGAAAGATAGATAGAGAGAAGGAGAGGGCAGGGGCTGGTCGAGTTTTAAAGAAATACGGGCGAATGCGAACGTGAGTGCGGGTGTGATGGCGAGGGCGAATGCAAGCGTGAGTGCGTTTGTGAGTGCAAGTTCAAGTGTAAGCATGCGTGTGGGTGTGAGTGCGAGGGAAACTGTGAGCGTGAGTGCGGGTGTGAGTGAGTGTGCCTTCAGTTTGAGGGTACATGCGACTGTGTGTGTTGGGGTGATCGGAGTGAGCGCGAGCCCGAGGGTGAGTGCGAGGGTTTGTGTGTGTTTTCAGTGAGTGTGTCTAAGAGCTGTTTAACGTATTTGAGTGTCGGTGAGTTGCGGCAAGAGTGAGTGCGAGCGTAAATTTGTTTCTTGTGCGTCAAGGAAACTGCACTTTCTGATTTTGATTTCTTGTGCAACTCATGCAAGTTTTCGTTTTTGTTTGTGCAGGGAGTGACTTGCATTTGCTGTTTCTTCTTTCGTGCGCAGGAATTTCAAGCTGCAGCCCTTGTTTCTTGCGGAGAAAAGGGATTGGGAGAAGGGAGAAGATAAGGGAAATGAGGGAGGGAGGGAGGGAGGGAGGGAGGGAGGGAGGGAGGGAGGGAGGGAGGGAGGGAGGGAGGGAGGGAGGGAGGGAGGGAGGGAGGTAGGGGGGGGGGGGGGAATGGGGGACAGGCTAGTGATGATTTATACAAGGCTGAACTCCATTCATTATGCTTGCATGCTTATTACCGTAGCTGTATGTTTTTGCATTGTGTGTCGTTGTGTACCGTATGTGGGAGCTTGTATGTTTGAGTGTGTACATGTGCATATGTGTTGTGTGTGTTTCAGGGTGTGGTGCTAAGTGCCTCGTGAATGCAACTCGGATTGTGATCGTCGGTGGGGCAGCTTTGCTAGCCTCTTCCGTACCATATCAATCTTAGTTGCAGCATTGATGCATTTAGTATTCGCCTTGAAACATTATCAATCGTTATCTGTTTCTGCACCAGTTTGTATGTTATCGCATGTGCTTGTTTTGGGAGTGTGTGAGTGCCTCGTGTATGCAACTGGGATTGTGATCGTCGGTGGGGCAGCTTTGCTCGCCTCTTCCGTACCATATAAACTTCAGTTGCTGCATTGATGAATTTTGCATTCCCCCCAAAACATGTGCGACGGTTCTTGTAGCCGGTTGCTTTTGTGGCCATTTGTGTATGTGGGCGTGTTCCTACGCTCTTATCACGCAAACCTCTTGTCAGCCTTGCCTGGTAAAAGTAGCGAGGGTTTTTGGGTTTAGGGAATTTTCAGGGGGAAAAGTAGCGAGTGTTGGGCTGAGGTGCCCTAGGATCTTTGTAGAGCTTAAAGTCTGAGTAGGATTGTAATAGCGGAAGCGTTTGAATGAAAGTCCTTGAACCACCTTGCGCTAGTATGTGAGGGCAAAGTAAGTTAATTAAACAAGCAAATACCGTACAAGGAATACGAATAGATAGATTTAAACCGTTTTACTGTTGCGATTCGATACAGTGCGACTCGGGCAACTGCTCAATGTCGAGTCAGTTGTGTGTCCTTGCTGTCGCGCTGTAATTGTCGAGTCAAAGGTCGCTGACCTTTGACTTTCATGTAACCTCCAGGCGGTTACCCTAACCTCCGAGGGTTGACTCGCGATGCTTCGATTCGGACTGCTTCGCTAGCGTCCTGAGTTTCGACACGACAGAGGCGCTTAAGACTTATTGTTCCCAACACTCCCCTTCGTTTCTGGTGTGTCGCTGATGGTGACGTGGCCTTGTCCAGTCAGCAGCATGCAGTACTCAAACTTCTGTTTTCCGAGTTTCTTGGTCAAACAATCGGCTGCCATCTCGGACGTGGGACAGTAGGATAATTCGAGTTTCCCTTTCTCGATCTCGTCCTTTACGAAGAAGTATCGCAGAGCGATATGCTTCGTTCTGTTCGCGAATCCGCTTTTGTTGGCGATGCGAATTGCAGATTGGTTGTCGCAGAACAGGGTGAAGTTGGGTAACTCGGCTAACTTTGCTTCTTCCAGCAATTCGCGAAGGTAGAGTCCTTCCTTGGTGGCTGAGCAGAGGGCGATATATTCTGCTTCAGCTGAAGAGAGAGCGATTAGTTCCTGCTTACTCGACTGCCAGGAAATAGGTCCGATAGGCTCGAGACGATAGACGTAGCCGGTGCGAGAACGCCTATTATCAGAATCGCCGGCATGGTCAGCATCGACGTAGCCGATTAGTTTCGTCGTCGTAGCTTCGCCCTTGTAGTAAGTTAGGCCGATCGTCGGTGTGCTCACGAAGTAGTGCACTGCGCGATCGAGCTCCGCCATGTGCTCTGCTTCGGGTTTCTTGAGATAGGTGGCGAGTTGACTCGCGGAGTAGGATAGATCCGGGCGACAGGTTACGGCTGCGAAGAGGAGGCAGCCCAGTTTCCTCTGGTAGTCTCGTATTCCGGCAGCCTTAAGTGAAGCGGAATTTCCCTTGCCGCTTCCTGTTGTGTGGCGGTATGGCGTGGCGATGGCGGTAGGTGTGAGTGAGAAGCGCTTGGCGATAGTGTCGGCGTATTTCTCGGCGTTGAGGTAGATAGCGTTTTCTTCTTCGCGGATGTTGAGCCCGAGATACTGGGTGACGGTGGAGGAGACGGTGAGCGTGAGGTCCTTCTGCAGCTCCCCTTCGACCCAAGTGATGACGTCGTCGGTGGAGCCGATGTAAAGTAAATCGTCGACATAGACGATCAGTAAAATGTAGTCTGCGCCCTTAGTGAGTCGATACATTCCTTGGTCGTGAGGCAGCTGTCGGAATCCGATGCGGGTGAGGCGGGTGTGTAGGTGCTGTTGCCACAGTCGCGGGGCTTGTTTGATTCCGTAGAGCGATTTCAGTAGTTGACAGACTTGGTTGGGGTTTCCGTGAGTGCCGTGTGGGAGTTCGACGAAGATTTCGGCGTCGACGGGTGCGTAGAGGAATGCGTTGGCGACATCGATCTGTCGCAGCTTCTTCTTCTTCATGGCGACGACGGCGAGAAGAATGCGGAGAGAGGTATGTCGACTAACTGGGGCGAAGGTCTCGGTGAAGTCTCGTCCTTGTTCCTGATCGAATCCACGCACGACCCA